TCCTGGCCTTAGTCTGGCCCCAGATGGGGAGAGGACAGAGAGTTCTAGAGAGAATTTATTATGTACCTACAAGTAGTTCTCCCTTATTTGTGGAGGGTATGTTCCAAGACCCCCAGTGGAAACGTAGATTGTACTGAACCCTTCATATACAATGTTTTTTCCTATACATACATCCCTATGACAAACTTTAACTTATAAATGAGGCACAGTAAGAGAATATCTGAATTGCCAGCATCTTTTTTTTTTTTTTTGGCCATGCCGTGTGGCATGAGAAATCTTATTTTCCCCACCACGGGTCGAACCCGTGCCCCCTGCAGTGGAAGCATGGAGTCTTAACCACTGGACCGCCAGGGAAGTCCCTAGCATTGCTATTCTTGTGCTTTGGGGCCATTATTAAGTAAAATAGGGTTACTTGGACATAAGCACTGTGATACCGCCGCAGTCGGTCTGATAGATCTGATAACAGAGACGGCTACTAAGTGACTCACAGGCAGGTAGTGTATAAGTGAGGATATGCTGGACAAAGGGATGATTTACATCTAGGGCTCGACACTTCATCACGCTACTCAGAATGATTTAAAACCAATGAAGTGGGCTTCCCTGGTCCCGCAGTGGTTAAGAATCCGCCTGCTAGTGCAGGGGACACAGGTTCGAGCCCTGGTCCAGGAAGGTCCTACATGCCACAGAGCAACTAAGCCTGTGCGCCACAACTACTGGAAGCACTGCAATGAAGAGTAGCCCCCGCTCTCCGCAACTAGAGAAGGCCCGCCTGCAGCAACAAAGACCCAACGCAGCCAAAAATAAATTAAAATAAAATTAAAAAAAAAAAAAGATGAAGTTTTATTTCTGGAATTTTCCATTTGATATTTTCAGACTGTTGTTGACTGTGGGGTAACTGAAAACGCAGATAAGAGGGGACTACTGTATTTTTCCAGCTGGCCTCACACCAGGCTAGTGTCGAGTCTGAGAAACACATTATGGGGAGCTCCCAGCCTGCTACTTTCTTGCTGGGTAGCGTGGGGTAAATGATCACTCTGTGTTCTGTGTACTTTTCAGTGAAATGGGGAGCATAAGTGTCCCCTTCACGGGATTCTTGTGCGGAATTAACTGACAAGTAGCAAACCCTTTGACTTTGGGTCCAGTCACTTCATCTCTCTTTGTGCCTCAGCTTCCTCATCACACAGGGTGCTGTGGGGGTTATTTGAGATAATACTTGTAGCGCACTTGGATCAGGGCTTGGCACATAGTAAGTGCTAAATACATTTATTAATAGCATTTTTACCAAGACGTGAGTGCCAGTCAGTAAGAGTCTCCACCATGTAAGATCTTGCCCTTCTGAAGAGAAAAACTCAGGTGCGTGGCAGGTGGGAAGGGAGGACAAGTCTATGGGGGTCCTCTTGGTAGGGCAAGAACCTCCCAAGCATCTGGCCCCAGCTGATCAGCTCCTTTTCAGAGGAACTGGAACGGAGGGATTTCAGGCGCTCGGTGGCATCCCCTCCCTCGGCCTCCTGTTTCCCGCCCTCGTCCCTACAAGCTGGGCGGCCTCACCAGCTCCCCCGGGCAGTCCAAGGAATGTGAAGAGGTAGGTGGGGGTGGGGAGGAGCGGGAGCCGCCGGGGAGAGACAAAGGGGCCGAGTCAGAGCCAGAGACACAAAGACGCGAGGAGGCTGGGAAGATAGAAGTGGGACAAGGACACGGGGAGGGACAAGCGGAGTCTGGAGGCCCGATCCTAGCCCAGCCCCGCAGGGCCAACGGAGCGCCAGGGGTGGTCTGTGCTGCCCCCTGGCGGAAGGCTGCGGTAAGGACACGGTGCGGACCAGATGCAGGAGAAGACTGGGGAATGCAGGGAGCGAGAGAGGAGAGGTCAAGAGAGAAACAAGAGATACCGAAAGAGACACAGAAACCCACAGAGAGACAGAGGGACAGAGAAAGACAGAGATAGAAACATACAGAGAGACACAGACGCAGAGAGAGACACAGATGCAGGGAGCGAGAGAGATAGAAACACAGAGCGAGAACAAAGTTAAAGGGATGGAAAGAGACAAGGAACCAAGTGACACAGAAACAGTGATAGAAAAAGACACCAGGAAGAAAGAGACCAGAAACACTAAGAGACACGGAAACGTGAAGACTGAAAGACCCAGAGATAAACACAGGGACGGAAAAAGAGAGGCAAAGATAGACACAAAAACAGAGACACTAAAAGAGACAGAGAGAAATCTAAAAAGAAACGACTCCCAGAGTCGCAGGCAGAGATTGAAAAAGATGAAGATAGGCTGAGAGGCGTACAGACCGGAGAGACAGTGGCCCCAGGGCGAGAACTGGGGAAGTCTCGGGGCGGGGAAGGGGGTGGGGTCTCAGCGTGGGGGCGGGGCTCCAGAGGGGCGAACCTATGAGAACCCACGTGCCTCACGCGGGTGTGACGAGACGGCCAGGACTAATACTGAAGGGGGCGGGGTTAGGACTTTGGGCGGGGCCGAGGCCAGGGTATACTTAGCTCCTGGGAAGGGGTGGGGCAGACTACCTGGAGAACGAATGGGAGAGGCCGTGTTGGAGGGCGGGGCTCCGCGGAGGCGGGACGTTCGGAAGCCCCTAAGCGTACCCCGTTAGACAGGGGGCGGGGCGCGAGGACAACCTCCGGTGTAAAGGGGCGTGGCTAGAACACTAAGGGGCGGGGTTTGAACGCTAAGAGAAGGCAAAGATAGAATTCTGGGACAGGGGGGCGGTGACCAAAGAATCCTGGGAGGGGCGGACAGAGAATCCTGAGGAGCAGCGGGTGTAGGTAGAATCCTACGACAGGGAGGGAGAGGAATGCTGGGGGGCGGGGCGGGAGTGGAA